ATTGGGTGTATCTTTCTCTTTCTCCCTTGCCTTTCGCTTCCCTTCTTTCCTCAGCTATTTGTAAAGCTTCCTCAGAAAGCCATTTTGCTTTCTTGCATTTCTTTTTCTTTGGGATGGTTTTAGTTGCTGCCTCTTGTACAATGTTGCGAACCTCCGTCCATAGTTCTTCAGGCACTCTGTCTATCAGATCTAATTCCTTAAATCTATTTGTCACCTCTACTGTATATTCATCAGGGGTATGATTTAGGTCATACCTGAGTGGCCTAGTGCTTTTCCCTACTTTCTTCAATTTAAGCCAAAATTTTGCAACCAGAAGCTCATGATCTGAGCCACAGTCAGCTCCTGGTCTAGTTTTTACTGACTGTATAGAGCTTCTTCATCTTCGTCTTCCATGTGTAAAGTGGAAAAGAGTGTTTGCTATGACCATCGTATTCTCTTGACAAAATTCTACCAGCCTGTGCCCTGCTTCATTTTGTACTCCAAGGTCAAACTTGCCTGTTATTCCAGTTATCTTTTGGCTTCCTACTTTAGCATTCCAATCCCCCATGATGATAAGGACATCATTTTTGGAGTTAATTCTAGAAGGTGCTGTAGGCCTTCATAGAACTGGTCAACTTCAGCCTCTTCAGCACCAGTGGTTGGGGCATAGACTTGGACTACTGTGATATTGAATGGTTTACCTTGGATTCGAAATGAGATCATGCTGTCATTTTGGAGATTGTATCCCAGTACTGCTTTTCCTACTCTTTTATTGACTATGAAGGCTACTCCATTTCTTCTGAGGGATTCTTGCCCTCAGTAGTATACCTGATGGTTATCTGAATTAAATTCACCCATTCCTGTCCATTTTAGTTCACTGATTCCTAAGATGTCGATGTTCAGTCTTGTCATCCTTGTTTGACCACATCCAGCTTGCCTTGATTCATGGATCTTACAAATTCCAGGTTCCTATGGAGTGTAGATCTTTACAGCATCGGACTCTCCTTTCACCACCAGATACATCTGCAACTGAGTGTCCTTTCGGCTTTGACCCAGTCGCTTCATTCTTTCTGGTGCTACTAGTACTAGCCCTCCGCTCTTCCCCAGTAGCATATTGGACACCTTCCAACCTGAGGGACTCATCTTCTGGCATCATATCTTTTTGCCTTTTCGTACTGTCCATGGGGTTTTCATGGCAAAGATACTGGAGTGGGTTGCCATTTCCTTCTCCAGTGGATCACATTTTGTCAGAGCTCTCTGCTATGACCTGTCCATCTTGGGTGACCCTGCATAGCATAGCTCATAGCTTCATTGAGCTATGCAAGCCCCTTCGCCACGACAAGGCAGTGATCCATGAAGGAGTCCATCTTTATACTTCTTTATATTGTTGGAATTGGAATTGTAGTTGGAATTGTTTTCCATAGTGCATTTAAATATGATTTCAATGTTTATATATGAGCTGCTTAGAGTTTTTAAAATCTAAAGTTGTATGAGACTAATTAAATAATAATTACATTGTAACAATTGTTCAGGGTCTTGAAGCACACCTTCTTGGCTCTGGTTGGTATTTTTCCAACCAAATGGATTGCCTTTGGGAATCTTACCAGAGATTTCAGCACTGATTAGGAACACAACAAAGTACTGGTTGAATGCAGTGCCATGGCAAGTCTGAAAACAATGGGAAATACTCATATGTTGGTTTGGCTGAACTGGGACATAGAAGAGTAATAATCAGGGTACCAGTAAAAATCTTTCCCTAACTTGACTATCACATTAAGATGGCTGTGGGTAGAAAAATGTCTAACCATTGTTGCCAGTCCAATCAGGGCTGTAGAACATACTGGAGTTCCTATTATCAACCTCAAAAGCAACTTTATGGCCCCCCATTTATGTCTGCCCTGACCCCTCCTGTTTTCCCCCTGTCCCTCGTCTGGTGTTTTGAGAACCTTTACATGGCTGAGTATCATTTAAAGTTCCCATATCAGGAGGCAATTTGCCTGGGTCTTACTCATACTTGCACTTACTGATCAGCATCAATCCTTACCTTTACTTTAAAGATATGAAATGACCACAAGATGGCAGCAGATTCCTGCAAGAAGCAATATCCTATAACCTAATCTAGACACCTGAAAGGAATGGTGTAATTTAGTGTCCTGGATTAGCAGTGGGTTGGACCTGCAGGCCCCTTTCCTGCACTATAATGTAGTCAACCAAGAGTTCAATGGGTTGATTTTCACTAAAGACTGCAGCTGTCCAACCAACAGCCTCCAGGTTTCAGGGTATGGGAAAACACATTCCTTTTTGCTTTTGCATGCTCTGGAATGCACACACTGATTGGCTCTTTTGCTTCCTTGTCTGTAACTACTCCATTGGTCATCCTAGTATGTCTGTTTTGGGTAAGTATCACCATGGATCCATCATGGTCTTATATTTTCTTTCTCAAAACCCCATCCATCTTTCTGTCTACCACCTGAGGATATTTCGTACTTCTGAAGTGGTTTCTGTTCCACAAAACTGTATGCCATCATGCCTTGTCAGCATTTAAAGTGCTCCAAGGCTCTTTGGAGTTTTTGCAAGAATAGAATAACATGGTGATTCCTATAGAGTTGATCAAGTGTCTTCAGAAGCTATCTCACTTTCAGCAGATGGAGTGCTGGTGTCACTGCAATGTGCTAGATTCATTTGGAAAAATCACACCAGAGCTCAACTTATCACAGGTATTCATTCCATTCCTCTCAGTACTCTAAATTTGGGGTGGGGGTGGGGATTAGGGTTTTTACTACTGATTCTATACCAAGTACTTGCATTGTAAGAACAAATAAATAACAACAAAGTGTATTGCAACCTGATAGTCTGCAGCCTTTTCCGGCCTTGAATATCTTTACCCTAAACATTTATGAGGGGATTCACTTCTTCATGTTTCCCTATATATCTGGATGGTGGTAGTGTTGCCATTTTGGCCTTCTTTGGTCGGACATTTCCTGGCCCATCTCTGATGAATGATGCTCTGTGTTAACAGAGCTTAAGAAAGAAAACAGGTGACCAGTGCTATTATATAGAGTGGTACCTTGGCTCACGAACTTAATCCATTCCAGGACTCTGGTCGTGACCCAAATTGGTTGTGAGCCAAGTCAAATTTCCCCTTAAGGGTCAATGTAAATAAGGTTAATCCATTCTGTAACAATTTTTTTTACTCACAAAAATTTGAAGCAAAGTGACAAAAAACAACAAAGATAGCGACCATCCCCCCCACCCCCCACAATCGTGTGGGGGAGGGGGGGAAGCTGGCGTGATCGTGGGCATGTGTGGGGGGAGGCAGGTGCACTTGAGCTGGGAACACAGGCACAATACCGGCCAGGTCCCCCCCACCCGCAGCATGATCGTGATTGCACCCGTGCAGGGAAGGTGGGCACGCTCGTGATCATCACCCAACGCGGAGTTCGTGACCTGCAGCAACATTTTTATGAAATTTCTGTTCACGACCCAATTTGTTTGTGAACTGAGGCATTCATGAGCCGAGTTACCACCGTAAATTGTTTCTTTGCTTGAGGAGCCTGCACCTCCACAATGTTCCTCATTTTTGATAAGAGGTTATTGAGATTCATTGCCTGTGAATCTCTTAATGTGAGCTTTCTGGTGGAAATGAAACTCCCTTTGGACCTTCTTCCCCTCCCCTTTTTGCATACTATATAGAGACATGGTTCTTGGTAGGCAGCCAAAATGAGGCATGAAGCCAGTGAACGGACATTGTACTCAAATATGGGAGGCATAAATTCTAGTTATGTCAGACCACCTGCCTGGTAATGCAAACCATAGAAGGGAAACATACCGTTGCACCTTCCAGGCAGGGTTACACACATCTGGGCAGATCATGGCACATTTGCCATCATAGTCCAAGTGAAACAGCCTACTCGTTCCTATTGATCTGGCAAACATAACATAAATTGCTTGTCCTTTGTACAGATGTTTCCTCTACTGGCCAGCATGTGTTTCCTGCAGCATTTTCTTATGTTTGCATTATACAGCAAAGGAGACCCTTATCCATACCCTCTTGTAGATATTCCCCTTACCCCTGCCTTTATGCATTTGGGAATCCCCTGCCGCTAAGAACTGTGTTAGAATGGTTACAGCATGTGTTCCCATCCCACAAGCTGCATGCTTCCTGTTTCACATTCCTCTTCTGGTTTTCAGAAAAACGGTGTGCTTGCAAAAAGTTATATCCCTGTAATTTATTTGTTTAATCAACTGGGCCCTTTAAATCAACCATGCAACTAAGAATGAACTCTCTCTGCATTACTAGCTTTCAATTAAATTAACTCTTTAAGGACCACTGAATGTTTGCAATCAGTGTCTCCCATC